GGCATACGATGACGCACAAAGCGATAATGTGTCCCACACATCTTAATCAGTTGAGGTAATATTATTTAGAAGTTTTGACTAAAATTAATACCCATCATATGTAATTAAATCGGCATTAATGGGAAATATCCACTGAGTCGCAACAGTACCAAAAATAGACCTTAATCGAGAAATAGCTAAAAAAGTATTATCATTAATTTCCATTCCTTACATATTTCCCTTTTTAATTTTAACATTCATTAGTCTCAATTTTTAAGTTCAACTTTAAAAAATTACATATTAAAATTTTTTCAGTTCTGAAAAGTTTTTACCTATTTCTCAGATCGATGATCAAACTGAAAATATTTAGCTAATAATCGATAATCGGAAAACGCAAGAACACAGCTCGGTTGAACTTAATGAAATGCTTTTTTTCAAGTTTTACATCACATTTTTAATTTCAAGCAAACATTGGTTTGAAATTTTTAATTTAAGAAGTAGTAAATTCGGTGGTCCAACAGTGGTAAATTTATCGAACTTGTTCAAAAGAGTTTTAAAACCAGCTTCTAATATATGTCCCGCTGGAGATAATGATTTAACTCCAATTTTCTGGGTCATAGAATATTATTTTAAAGTAGCTTGATGGACCAATTTAGCGAAATACAAAAATAATATTATGGTTTTTTGGTAATTATTGCAAATAAAAGCATATTTAAACACTGCAAATCCTAGCCAAGGTCAATTGGAATCCAGATTTTTTAATTATCGAATTCTAAAACGTATTTTGCTATTTTAGTCAAACACGTTTAAACCGACTTGTTAGAGTACTTTATTTTAAAATATATGTGAATTTTATCTGGTATCAGATTAGATTTAATTTCCCGAAAACCCTAAGATTAGCCTCAATAAATTTATCCACTATGCTATTGATTTAAAATGAAGTATCGTTGAAATAAGCTTCATGAATTTTTCAATAACATTTTACTGAAAAGACACTTGGAAATGTTTTGCTCAGTTAACTAATTATTAACATATCTATTGTCTTTTTTAATGGGGATTTAGCCTAAATTTAAAAAACAACCAACGTTATTTTAAGTTGTGCAGTAAGTATGAATGAATTAGAGCAAGAAAGCCACTCAAGGAGAGAGCAGTGCATAAGGTCATTTGTTAAAAGGGAAAACTACTGGTCACAATGACGTATTTGCATCTTTAAGGAGGCAGAAATCGATGCAAAATATTGTGTTGGAATGTAGAAATTCAATAATAGGTTGCATGGCTCTATATTGCAACAACTATTTTGATATTACAACTTATTTAAAGTCCTTTGTTTCAATTGAAGGCAGCAATTATTCAAGATACAACTTGAGGGAAATGAAATGTTTAATCATTTACAACTAAAATTAAGGACTATTAACCGTCCCTTCATGTACAATTCATTTGTCTATTATTTGACTCAGGCTCGTTATTGATAATACACACTGGTTTTAAGATAACTTTATATTTTTAAGCGATTTCAAGGATAGTAAATGTAAATGAACTATAAGCGTTGAATATCTCACCCAGTCTGAATTTCCACGGAGCGACTCAAAATTTTCGGAAAACCAGTCACTCAAAGAACTCGTTATTCGACATTTATATGCAACACACCTTTCTCGCACTCGCTTCAGAAGTACAACCAGCTCCCCGTCTTGAAACGTCCTCTCTTTTTCTCAGTCCTTTCTCATGTGTCATCAAAAGCGCAACTAGTGAGGCCCAACCTTAGTTCTTATTTGGGATGGTTGTTGCTTTCAGTGAGCGATTATGACAAATCGATTTTAAGGAGGACAATTCGATAAGATTAGGGTGGTCGCTTTTCTCTATATTAGCCATATTTTAGAACTTTAGAGGGTTAAAAGTTAAATCATTTTCCTCTAAAGCTTGCAGTTAAATAAATTATCATAAATCAATTGCCGACTCCAAGATGCCAAGGATGATTAAAGAACTATATGCACAATAATTACTTTTCGATTCTAATATCAATCATATGCAATGCATGCCTACCTACAAGGTAATTTTCTCTGCCAATACTAATCAGTATTGAAGATGAACAAATTCATGAAAAGAGCCGGAATCTGTTCTTTTATTTAAAATTTAACTCCTAGGCCCCCCCCCACACAATTACCCTTTGTTTCTGTATTGACTAGTGCATAATGTACGTTGCACTAATCATATTGCCGATAAATTACCATTAAGAGCTAACTATTGCCTAATCTGTTTTAACCGTGTTACATTACTCGCCATTGGTTATTCAAGTATACTCATTCTATTCATTTTGTGGAGTGCACAACGTTGTCAAGGCTGAACAAAGAAATCTCATGCGCACTCAGTCGGGCTCGAAGGTGCGACCGTGCTACATGTCACGTGAGGAGGAATTGTGGTCGTGAGAGTAGATAACTCACAGCCAGCCACCAATCAATAAGCCCCAACATTGTTTAACAAAAACTTCAATGTACTTAAATGACCAGGCACTACGCTTCTGTTTCCCCCCATAGATTTGGATGGCTTAGCTAACCTTGGGAAGCATTCTAAACTAGGGCATCTTGATACAGAGATTACCGAGCATAAGCCAAGGCATATTAATGTAGCAATCAGCTACACTTTAAAGCTACCAACCACAAAACTACCCTAAAGCAGATATTCTGTTTTTAAATCTATTGATAACATTTATTGGAAATCATTTAGAAAATATTTGTATCGCTAAAATTTCTTACCATGTTGAACATAATTCCAATTTTTTTTAGAGATTGAGCTGATTTCTGCTTATTCAGTTCCTTCAAATTAATTAGATTAGATTAGATTAGATAAGACCACAGATTTCATATAGTAAAATTAAGATGTATCATAAATAATATAGTTAAAGAATTTAACTTGTATAGTGATACCTTATTTAAGTAGAATCGAGTCTTAGTAAGCTACAAAATGTTTAAATAGGGATTTCAAGCAGGACCTGTTTTTCGTCAATTTGATATGGTATTAAACTAATCTCTTTGAACCCTGGGAAAAAGCTGTAGTTAAGTTATTCCTAATTCGTCCACAAAATCAGTCCAGTCTATGTTGTACATGCTTTCATTCGAACTTCGGTTTAGTCGTTAAAAATTTAAATATATCGACTGAGCCTTGTTAATAATTTGGCCTACGACTTCAAGTCCTGTAGAAAAGGAACCTTAGTGCTTCACAATTTGTTAAAATATCTTCACAATTACTCATGTAATGGTAGCCATTTATATCGATTACCCTTCAGTTTCACAACTTCTAAATAACAGTTGAAACACTTTGGCAAAATAATTTCACCGCAGGTTATTTAACGTTACATGATATCACTAAGGTATTCATGGCATCATTAAGGGCTATTTGCTCGTTCAATCTTTTTGGCAAATTCGCAAAGTTCTTAGCAGTCTCGTTAACTCTTTAAAACTGTATTGAATTTTCAGCCAATTCACCAAATATCATATCTTTTTACTTCAATTTATAAATATTCCTTAGCATTAGCGCCAACAGCTAAATTACTCTCTTAGAGTGAAGCATGATTCGAAATTGTAGGAATCAATAACATTAGGAGCACTTGATTGTCCATAAATGATAGTCAAAATATGATTGAAAAATGTGTAAAGTAGAAAATAGCAAGCTTATCCTTTAAAGGTATAATATCTTCTGCTTTTGAATAAATTAAAAGTGATTTATAAAACATATGGATATTTAAATAATCTAATAACTAGTTAGGAGTCATTGAAATAGCCCTAAAATAGATTTAATGTCGAAAGATGAGTAATAACGGGTGGTTCTGTCAAATCAATACGCAATGCATACTGTCTTGGTCATTTTTGGGCGGTTAGTCATAAAATTCTCCCATAATTATAATCTCCAATGAATATCTTCCTAATAAATTAATTAATTGATTTTCGAGCAGCTTTATCTCAATCTTGGGGTGCACGATAGGCTTACCTCCACGTGGTGCATCCTGGGCAACGTAGACTCATACGGCAAAAAGTCTATTAACCGGCAGTTGACTTCTCACTTCAAAATGTTATGACTTCAAACCATCGTGACCCCACTGTATGTCATATTCGACCACTACCAGAGTAATCACCTCACCTTACCTTTTTCTCTACCTTTGTGCCTGCTTGGCTCTATTACATCTGTGAATCACGCTCTTCTGTCCCCCCCCCCCACCTCGACTCTTTGTGACTTTGACTGTTCCTCACCTCTGTGAGCCCGAAGTCAACTAGAGGGCTAATGATAAACATCATAAAGCCTGACATTTGATAAAAATTATCCCAATCATGCCTTTTGTACCTTGCTGAGAGAATTGTAACCTCACGATATCCGGTTGGAGGATCTTTCACCAGCACTGAGGCTATGAATAATCATACTTTACCAAGTGGATATTGGAACAGTTACAATAGAAACATTCATTCAGTAATTTTAAAGACTGAACTTAGGGTACTTACATATCTCAAAAACTAACGGAAGGACTGCTTACCCAATGGACTCAAAGAAGTCTTTAGTTTCCAGTTGGGAAGTCAAAAGTTTCACTTTCCTATTTTATCTTGATAGCAATTCATTTTTTGTCTTCTTTAAATAAACCGACTAAGTTAGAACTTGAGTGTCATGGTGATTACTAATGTTAACCTCCATGAATATGTAATACATACTAACAAAGAGGCGAAATTTTAACACCTAATATAAATTATAACGTTAATCTTCACTTTCTCCATTTCCCCATTAAACATGAAAAGTGCTGTTCAAACAGAACCAGAGCATTACAAACTTACAAACTCAGTCACTGATTTAGTTAAGATAGTTCACTAATACGAACTCCCATATTGAATGACCAATGAATTTAGAGATAGACATCCTTTAACCAAGGCTATTGGCGAGCTATGACGAATAAGATATTAGAAATTTTCATCGTGAGAAGTATAAATACCAAAAGTGAGATTTGTCCTGTTCTATCGTTGGATTCGTTCTTACAATTTCAAGAGATGGCTCCAAAAGGTAAAGCTCAGGTATTTAGGAAGAAGGAGGCCCCAACCACGAAAGGACCCAAAGAACGAAAAGGACCTAAAAGAACTAAGAAAAGGAGGGATAATTTCAACCTTTATGTCTACAAGGTCTTGCGTCAAGTTCACACCGATATAGGCATCTCTTCAAAGGCCATGTCTATCATGAACTCCTTCGTGATTGATATCTTTGAACGCATAGCCTCTGAGGCAGGCAAACTGACTCACTACAACAGGAAAAGCACTCTGACTAGTCGCGAGATTCAGACAGCTGTGCGACTGATATTGCCTGGTGAGCTGGCCAAGCATGCTATCTCAGAAGGCACTAAGGCGGTTACCAAGTTCTCTTCTTCTACCCAGAAGTAAGAAATACCATAACTTCCACCCATAACAGCTTGTGAACGTATTCCACGGCCCTCTTTAGGGCCACACTAAATCCTATTGTTATGAACTTGGCTTCGTACGCAGCAGTGTCCAAGTGCCTAATATGGTAATCTTCTGTCATTAAGTGTATGGTGTTTATCTATCCTTTAATTGCCACTGACAAGAATTGCTAACTATAGGTTCTTAGAAGTCCCTGTTTCCGAGTTTTTCAAAATTGCTCATTTGGTTGTTCTGATTGAAGTTCATAATTGTGAATTGACTCTGCGTATAGAACGCCATCTGATATATCTTATTAAAAGAAATTATTATTTAAGGTATAGGAATTTTGAATTCGAGAGGAAAAGAGATTAGAGGACTTCCTTCTTGAATGTTGCAGTTTTTGAATGGGTACTTTAGATAAAATGAATAAGGTTATTACACTACCTATTGATTTTGCAACTCCAATAGATTTAGTTCTTTGAGGAGAAAATTACCAAATAATGCGTGCTTCAAACTCAGCCGAAATCTTCCAAAGCAAAGAAGAAGAAACCCGTCGAAAATTGACCAGAATTTAATGATTGAGCTTCAACTTCGGAGTAACCAAGGTTAATCGTGTAGATTCAGCGAAGCTAATTTCTTCTCAACCCAAAGGCAAGCTAATTTTCATGTGCAACTGTTTAGTCATTCTACTTCTTTCGAAATTTGTCTATTTTCCAATATGCCTAATAAATAAACCTTTTATGCGTACTATGGCCCATGTTTCTTTCTTTCCAGTCTTTTGATAAGCGTTTCTCAAATTAGCTGCTCAAAAAATATTGTTAATTAAATTATTTATACAAAAAATGTAAGCTAGTGCTTAAAACAGCGTATTTTTAATTAAAATTAGAGTAGCAAATGATTATGAGTGAATACTTTTGTGAGTTTGAAATAACTAACCTTTATTAGAACATTTGAATTTACATATTCAGATAGCTTGCCAATCGCAATAATAGCCACCGAATTACATGAGCTTATTGAAATATGAGGATTGGCATATTTGTTTAACTAACTCAACCAACTTTATCATCCCTATAGTAGTACATACTCAAGTGCAATCCTGCCTCTCTGTCACGACTTCCATTCAACAGTGGCACCACTCCTGCCTAGGACATGATTTACAACACCACACGTTCAACTCCTACAATCAGATACTCCTCAGACCACCTCCCTCTTTCGACATCTCATCCGCAGACTTTTCCTCATTTACTTATTAAATTGGCACACTTACTAAACAGTTTAGCCAAAAATTTGCCATTATGCTTTTCTATTTATATCCATTTCGTATAATCTCCCAAAACGAAGTAAAAGTTGTCTGAAATTTCAGAGCTCCTCCGTTAAGCGTGAATATTTTTCATTTAAAGGTTACTTCATTAATAGCATCACAAATATGCCACGAATGTTGCGTATTTTCAATCGTCAGATATACCACATTAGCGAAAACGTGTAATCAATGCTAGAATTTCAAAATAGTGAAGTCACTTAAAGAATGTAACAAAATGAGAAAGTAATCAAACGGTTGGAGTTGTTTATAATTCGATTCAAATCTTTCAAAGATTTCGTTTCTGCTAAATTGGCTTTTAATGACAACGCCAGGAAAAGATCACTTATGAATCTATTATAGAATTATATCTACTTCAACCCTTGGAAGAAGGTTAAAGAAATTAAATGGTCTTAAAGAGAATTGTGTACGTGGTAAATGAATCAGTTTTATTAGCCAATAATCGTACTGATAATTTTTTTGATTGCAAGTCTTCTTATTCATATGTAAGAGTGAAAATGTAATAATCAATGGCTCATCTCATAAGGTGTGAATTGTTTTCAATTGTATTCGATCAGGCTTTGTCGAGGTTAGATAAATTTGAAATAAAAACCCGAGCAATGATATATCAAATTATGGTGAAAATAATCTTCGCATCAAATCCGTTTTTAATGAGCTTTCATCGACGAACCATGTTTAAATAGTTAATCGATGAAAAGTAACTCGTTTAATAACTAGGCTCATCTGATTTATAAATTTTTTGGATAACTGACAAAATTAGTTTAGGAAGTTTTGTTTACCGTTAAAGAAATCTTCAATCAAAATTTAGGCACTCATTGATTTAAATAGATTAAAAAGTTCAGTAGGAAATATTGACGAAAAAATGTGATATAGGTAATTTTTTCCAATACCGATCAGTAACACTACTTCACTGTCTTAATCTACTTGAGCGAAATTCACTTAAAGCAAGTTTTTTCGAAGTTTGAAGATCGAAAATTTGTAAATTTTTGATACAGGTTGCAAAGTAACAATTTATCTTGCCGAATAAAATTGTAATAGGATCAAAAGCATAATTATCTTCATTTTTACGAATTGCGGATTTAAGCATTTTGGAAAGGGAGAATTGAAGACATGTCCTCTAATGTGTGAAACGGAGGATATGAGGCAGGCATAGATGCCAGAGCACAAGTGTCTTAGTTTAAACCAATCAGACATAGAGCTGTTAATAATCACGCAAGTTTACTGTTCACAAAATGACTTGCAGAATTATGGGTTCATAAAGTTTACAACATGTTAATCAGTTGCTTTCTTCATATCTTATTACAATTAAAGCCCAGAATTTGGAATACAGGGAGGAAGATAAGCCTATATTGCATCATTTATCAGTCTTAAGTCAACGTAAAGTTTATTTATAGCGTTAGGATATTCTTTGCATAAGTTAGGAAGCAATTTGTCTGGCAATTGAGTCAATGGGCAAAGCGGAGAAATTCCACAAGAAAATCGGCACGAAGTTTACTTGAGTTGCCACGTATTCAGTCACCTTAAAGTCAATAACTGTGAAGCTTAAGAATCTCTTATGCAGAAAAATTCGTACCTTTTATCATTTATAAGATTTATTGATTTACTGAGACTACAGGAATGGGAAAATGAAATGAATAGGAAAAAGTTTAAAATATAAATGATTTTCGACTTTTACAATACAGCATTTACTCTTAGGTTTCTCTTCATCTCCTATTGGGCGCGTTTACCGACCCAATAACCAAGTGTTTTCTAATGACCAATAAAGCACATTTCTGCTTTCTTGTGAATAACAATAACCTTATTAAGATAAGAACAAAATATTAATAAATTTTATTGCAATTTCACTTATAGCGCTCAAATAGTACTTAAGATAGAGAATATATATTATCAAGAAACTTTGTTACTAAGTGACAAATCTAGACACATATTTCAAGATCAAAAGTGCAAAAAATGCATCTCTCTCCCCCCCCTTTTACAAATTTTTTTCAGATTTTGGGAAAAAACTAGTTTTATTATCCTTTTTTACTTCCTCCATGATTAACGATATCGCTTAAAGCAAGATAGTAATTCGCTCAGTGATTAGACTTTATCATGCATGACTTTCTGTCCTTTAGAGATAAATTAGTCTCTTAAAACCTAAAGTCGAATGGGAATCAATATAGCAAATGAGATTACAGATTTTGACATCTCGATGAACCAATTGCTGAACAAAATGAAATAAGCTGTCCAATCAAAATGAAGTAAATTGAAAGTATTCGCTGCTGGCTTCCATATATAAGGAATGGATAAACCAGCTCATTTATCGTCACTGTTCGTCATTTGAGTTTTGGAGTGAATACTGAGACTATGAGTGGACGCGGTAAACTAGGTAAAGCTTCTGGGAGAGCGAAGGCACAGTCGAAGTCCCTTCGGGCCGGTTTGAGTTTTCCGGTTGGTCGTGTTAGCCGTTTTTTGCGACGGGGTCGCTATTGTGAACGTATTGGTGCTGGAGCACCAGTTTACTTAGCTGCTGTGCTCGAGTACTTGACAGCCGAGATTCTGGAATTGGCAGGGAATGCTGCTCGTGATAACAAGAAGTCCCGTGTAGTTCCCCGTCACATCCAACTGGCGGTTCGCAATGACGAGGAGTTAAGCAGAATGTTACATCAAGTTACCATCCGTCAAGGAGGTGTCCTCCCCAACATTAACCCTGTTCTCCTAAAGAAGGGCACTGAAGATAAGACTGCTAAGAGTCAGAAGGATGAGAGGCCTGTTAAGACTCAGCCCTAATCTAATTCCCCTTAAATTGTGCTCTCCTTATTCGAACCTTAACTTCACCGCCTTCCAATATTAATTGAACGTGATACCGGCCCTCTTTAGGGCCACATAATATTGATTGTTCAGCAAACGGTTTATAGTGCTTAAATGGCTTTACTTTATTCTGTTAGTACGCTTTTTGGTCACTGCTTGATAAAGGCATTACGGGGCAATTTTACGCTCGCGTTATTACGACCAGAAGGGAGGAGAAGAGTAACCCAAATGGAGACCGATTAATATTTTGGCCTACTCAGCTGCGAATAACAGACCAGCTCTTTTGTACTCACAATCCGGATATATCTTGTTTGGTTTAGATGCTACCTTTTTCGGACAATTCATTCTACTTCCTTCATTTATCTTTCATATGTCAATTACTAAATATGCATCGGCTCCACCAAAACTGTTGCCTTCCGACTCTTTAAAGACTGTTTCCATTTTAGCCTTTAGAAAAAGGGGATATAGACCCCAATTTTGTCTGTTCTTAAAGTAGCTTGTCAGTCAGGATTGATGTAACTATCACAACAACTCACAATTTAAACCGACGAGGTAATAAAAACTATTTTTAATCCTGCGTAGAAAAAAACGATAGACAAATATCGACGATCTGTCCACAAGCCTCACTTCACGTTACCCTAAAGTGCATTTTTGAGTTTGCAAATATTTTATTGTTCAGTTTTATATTTCCCCACTCAAAACTATTGATGTTACCCATGTTAATGTTTTAGCATGTCGCGAAAATTGATAGTATTTTGGTAGAATAACGGCAACCTTGAAGTTATACCCTTTTATAGAGAATTAAAACACCGCGTGAAAATTGTCTTTTTTCTCCAGGTTTGAGCTTCGATTCAATCATGCGGGCAGAGTCCACCTTATTGAAAAGCATCCATAGAAACTCTTTTTTCGAAATCTAAGGCAAAGAACCTTCTAATATTACGCAGCAAATTTAACCAACTCGATTGTAAATTACGAATGTCTGCTAACATCCCTTCAATTGATGGATGGAAACTTCGAACAAGTTTTACTACATCTCTTGTTGTCCAGAATTAAGTAATTATTTAGACGATGAATTGGAATATGTGAACTTTGAATAAAATGCTTCTTCCTATAGCATATGTTACATTTTCTTGATGCAATAACCCAAGTAAAATCTTCTATTAAACTAGGTGGATGAAGCAACAGTAGAATGGTAATTCCATACTTTGATTGGCAGTGAAGGAAAACGTTCAGATTTTTTACCTAATTTATGATCACCTATTTAAATAGAGAAGATTTTAATTAACCTTAAGATATTTGTTGAATTCCGATAAACTTTGTTACGATAACTTTGCGCGAACTCTTATCATCATGGCATCTGGGCCATTAAAGTAAAATAACTTTGCTAATCGATATCAAATAAAAACTCTGGTTTAAGACAACGTACGAGATAAACAGAATGTACTAAATGTTAATTGTTCCTCGTGATCTACAACAACTCCTAATTTTTTGCCCACTTGCTCTGTAAGCTATGCTTTTAATGTCCAAAATTATTGATTTAATCTTTATTTTAAATTGGTGTGTGATAGGCTTACCTCCACGTGGTGCACACTGAGCAACGTATTCTCATACGGCAAGAAGGCCTAAAAGCTGGAAGTTGACTTCCGAATTCAAACCATCGTGACCCCACAGTATGTCGTATTCGACAATTTCACAGTACTCATCTTACCTTTTCACTACCTTTGTGTTTGTGTTTATTAAATCTGTGAATCACACTCGCCACTTTTTCGTGACTGTTTCTGTTCCCCCCCCCCCCCTCTGTGAAGCCCGAAGTCAACTAAAGGGCTAATGATAACTATCACAAAGCCCGCCATTTGATATAAATAAATCTTTAGTCTAGAAGGACGATATTTAAACCTATGACATTGTCAAACTCTTTGCCAAATTAGAAAGAGCTGGTTTTATGGCAGTACTTTTATTTGGAGTTAACAAGTCAAAAAACAGAAAAAATTGCCATTTGAACTATTTTGCTCCCTTCGTAGTTGGTCTACACAAAGAAAAAAGTTGAAAAAGAAAATAATGAGCTTCATATAGTAGAGCTTTATTTTATAATAGGATCTGTTTATAGTTAATGAAATATGGTTCTAAAACTTATAATAGGTCTCATACACAACCAAATAAGTGTAAAACAGGCTAAGTAATTAGTCGTATTGCTAAAACCAGAAGAAAATCGAAGAATTACCTAAAAGAAGCCTAACACGAAGCTTCTTTCCGAAAGTCCGAAAGGAAATCGAAACCGAAAACAACAGGAACTGTTTCTCAAGAGCGCTTCAGAACGCGGCGAAGTGAACTATGCCGACGCTTTTCGGCTCCAGAAGCTGATGAAGACGCACGAGAATGCCGTGCTGACGATGGTAGAGAATGAGATCTTTCGTGGAAACCTTTGAAACCAGTAGGTGCCAGCTTGCTCACCGATTCATTAATTGCCTCAACCCAACGTTGAAGCACTTCAGAATTCACAGCTTGGAAGAGGTATTCTGCGCCAGTTAACAGTCGTAGGCGGAACACGAAAGGTCGTTTAGTGTAGTCAAGTGCTGGAATGGCAATTGCTCCACCCAGATCCAGGGGTTTTTCTCCATGAAGTGTTTCGTTTTCATTTTCCCGCCGAGTGCGTCTATCTTTGTAGAAACGCAATTTGCCTTCCATCAAGGTGACATAAATTGACGTCCATCCACGGCCACGACTATGACGTGTGCCTCCAATATCTGACTCCCATTTTCGAATTAGCGGACCCTCAACTTTGGGTAATTCATCAACAGTTTTATCCGGTTCAGCTGCCTCTACTTGCAGTTCAGGAGGGGGTGTGTGAGCTGATGTACTAGGGAAGCTCCCTTGGGGCCTAAAAAAGTCATTATATTTCGACAAAATCAATTTTTCACTATCACTACTTATAAAATGAAAGTAAAGAGTACCTTGTGCTGGATGCTGTTTCTTCGAAGGGTGTGGTTGATGTGATCGGATCTTCCAGTGACGACTTTGGAAGGGAGACTCTGGTTCTACGAGGATAAAAGTACTCTTTGGAGATTGATGGTGAATGTGGTCTAGCTGGACTGCTGATTTCTTTCTTTTCATTCTCTTGTTCAGTTTTATTAGGAAGTGGGAACCTAGATATGCGTTTCTGAGGCAGCGGTATGGTTCTAGTAAGAGCAGAGGCTCGTTCAAGTGTAATTTTCTGTGAAGAAATAGGTCCAAGAGATGCCTGTTTGACTAGACCCGATCCTCTGGTTGCTGGAGGTGGAGGTTGTCGATTGGGCATGGAAGGAGGAATTTGAGGCGGAAGTTTATGGTAACCTTCCGGTGGAGGTGGAAGAAATTCATGAATGGCTCGACGGATTTTTTCACGTTTCTCCTTTTCTTGTCGACTCACATCTTCAGGTTTCCACTCGAGAGCTTGGATTTCCATCTTTTTTTTCGGAATGAGATTTAAAGTACATGAATTTGAATGGTTAGTTTTGTTCCAAAGTTGTTACGGTTTTAACAAATTTACTCCAAGGCATGCACGGTTAACTGGCTTAACTGTCATATTTTTTTGCCAACCCAAAGTATACATTTATTTTGTTAAAAACAAATGACATTTCTTTGTGTCTTTGCGTGCGTAGAGGCCATTTCAAATTTATTTGTATACCACTGAAAAATAATGCTAATTAAGCTGCTTAATGGTTCCATTCTAAGAAATACAATTATTCAAATGATAATAACGATATCATTGCTATTTGAGGTTGGTTAAGTTAAAAATTCCAGCTCCGTTACGTTAAACTCAATGTGAAACCATTCTGCTTTCTGCAACTTGGGAAGATGAACAGTGGAATGATGACGCAAGGTCGAGCATGAAGATTAAGCAGGGGACCAATAAGCATCGACTATTGTGAATAAGAGCTTGATTAATATTCGAGGAGACGAAACTTGATAACCGAATTTGAGAAAGTGAAGCAATGGACTTACAAAATGAGAATATCATACAAACAATAGGCATAAATTAAATGAACCCGAACTCTTTGATGCTCTGAAGATATTTTTAAAATCTGCTCGAACCTCTCCTCGAAAAAAAATTTGTAAACGAATTTGATCTTAGCTTGCTAAGGCAAATTCAGTCGTATCTGACTCACTTTAAGCATAGCACAAAAACCTGAAGTTCCAAATTTTACCTTGGTTAGTCTTTTAAGAGCATTAAATCTTTCTTCAGCAGATGCACACGCCCGTTCAAATGCATAATGAGCACCTAATAGGGCAAGTGTTTCGGCCAGATTCTCGCCAATATTTCGTCGCACAGCCACAAGGTAGACTTCGCGAGCTCCAAGCCATGACTCAGCAGCCGAAGCATCTCTTAGGAAGTATCGTGCATCCAGGAGTAGTGTCAGTCTAACCCAACGCTCTCTCCACATCGCCTCAGCTAATATCCGTTCCGTCGCTAGAGACACACAAACTTCCCGAACTTCTCCACGTGGAGCCGTCAATGCCTTCCATAGTCGACTTCGTTCAGGCTGGATGGAAGTTGGTGTCGTCCCAATAGACAAGATCGACCGACCTTCATTAAGGCAATCCTCAACCTGCTTAACCTTTACACCAAGCTCAGCATAGAGTTGACGGTGTTCACCAATGAGTCGTTCAATTCCGTATGCAGTACGGCTAAAAGGGGAAAAATACGAGTTAGGTAATTGAGCATTCAAAAATTTATTGGTCACAACAATAACCTTTTCTACCTGAGATTATTAGGCTGACTCATCCTATCCTTTGCTTCAGATAACCATTCGAGGAGATGTTGAGCGGTAGTAAAAAAGGAATGTAGCCAAACAGCTTCGGCAAGCAGTCGGCTTCGAGCGCTCGCTTTCGAAGCAAGCTCCTGGGCTGCACTGACGACACAATCTCTTCGAACTCTAAGAAGTACTTCGGATTCACCACTGTAGGCGGGTAAGAGCTTATTCGCTGTGGTGGATAGCGTTTCACATTTGGCATTGATGTGGGACAATCGCATCGCCAATCCTGCCTCCTTTCGCCGGAGATTTGCGATACCTCCGTGGTCACCACTTTTACTTCGACCTGTTATCATTTCTACGGTTGGTTCTGTTGGTACGTACTGGTAGCAATCTTCGATTTGATTCTCCAAATACTAGGTAATAAAGACATAGTTACAGATAGTCCAGTAAAGCTAGATCTTCCAGAAAGATAAATAACTGAGATTGACAATCGAAATTCATGTTAAACCAACACAACATTTGAAATTTAATATAATTTATAAAATATCATGTGTTAATTCATTATGGAGAATAAAATTAATTTCAATATAATCTTATTTACAAGTGAATTAAATTACTTTCAGTCATATTGCAACTTGTCCTACATGCTTCTGTCCTGTAACAATGCTCGAGAAATGAATATCATTGCTTGGACAATAGGGAAAAAATCAATTTAGTAAAGATGCATGACGATAAGCCATAAACGAGTTCAGGGTGTAGGTGAAATCAAAATTGATGTTCACAGAGTTCTAGTGAAACAAAGAATCAAGTTTAAATTCATTTTCAGGAAAAATTCAAAAGTTTTAAAGTTTCTAATTGTTAGGACACCGTTTAGAATAATTTGGAAAACATACTCGAAGTAAGTGGGCTTTACTCCTCATTCACTGGATCATTGAATTTTGACATTCGTGCCCGAATATGGATTCGCGTCATAGCCCCCATTTTTAATTGAATAGGCATCGCCATGGAATTCCAAGTAAAAATATGTTTAAAATATTTATATCAAATGGCAGGGGTCCAGATTGTTATCATTAGCCCTTTAGTTGACTTCAGGCTTCACGTTTGATTGTTATCATTAGCCCTTTAGTTGACTTCAGGCTTCACAGAGTGGAAAGAACATCAAATTGAAAAAAGTCGAGAGAGAGAGGGGGGAACAGAAGAGTGTTTCAAAGATGTTAGAGACAAACACAAAGGTAGGAAAAAAGTAAGGTGAGTACTGTGGAAATAGTCGAATATGGTGATGGTAGTTAGAAGTGAGAAGTCAACTGCCAGTTAATAGACATTTTTGGCGTATGAATATACGTTGCCCAGGTGCATCACGTGGAGGTAAGTCTATCGCACACCCCATGTTTAAAATATCTGTTTTAGCATCCTACCTTTAATTATACCTGACATAATTGAAGATTCAATAATGAGACCTCATTATAATTCTTTTCAAAAAATCAATAAAAGATTAATCGCTTAATACAATGGCAAGCAAAATGTCTCTGCAGACAAAATCGATTTTCGTTTGCACATGGAAACATCAGATGACTCCAGTGTAAAAGTGTTGTTAAAAAGGTATTGACTGTTTTCCGTTTCCACAATTAAATTAAAGCTCAACTGTTTTGAATGTCTCACTTTTACGGATACTAAGGGAATTAAATGAAAAAAATATGTGAATATTAAACAAGTGAAATTTTTTTATTTAAACCCCATAAAGACTGGGTGGAGTGGAAATCCACGCCCAAAGTTTTCTTCCACTCCAATTCTGTCAGACCAAACCAGTGAGTCATGCACCAGGAAGAGCAAAAGGGAGTGGGTAGGTTGGCATGGTGGACGGTTCGATCGTATGGGCGTAACCCCACGGGCTACGGCTGAAACTCACACGTCTCCACGCACGCACCCAATACCCCATAGACAAGTGTAATACCTCTGCTACTCCGGCTCAAGTTCACTCCCCTCTCTAACTTTCTAACGAATAGATTAACTACGAAATGAGCGGCTTTATTAATGAGATGAGTCTCAGTCTCAATTATTAAGCCCAAGTTAAGCATAAATGATGTGTTTTGATATGAATTCTGCCGAATTTAGTTTCTCCATTAAATTCTTCTCCTATACTATACTACCTCAATTATTGGGAATATTAGCTAAGATTGATCAATAAAAGTTCATGTCTGGTCTACTCAAATGTTTTCCCCCTTTTTAAACGCATTCATCTATACACTTCTAATGACTTTGATATCCATTTAGTTCTCATATAGACTTATCTTTCTCTTCAAACTACTCTACGATTTTTTTGTAGTAAAAACTCACTTCAACTAGACTACGTAGTTATTCACTAAGCAGTACCAAAGTTATTGGTCGGATACGAGGGATATGTGGTATGTACTAAGCTTTCGTTGTTCTCAGCGCAATATATCATCTACCAGAACTGGAATAAGTAAATGAAATTCAACTCACCTGTGTATCGTAAAAGAATCGATGAAGAGTGAGACACGACTTAAGAAGTTGGCTTCGAGTGCAGAGCATTTCTAGGAGATCAGCGTAGTCTTCGTTGAGTCCATCTTTAGCGAGAGCGATGTCGGACCGATTTCGATGACCTCGAAGGATCATTTGATCGATGCGTTGGATCATGGTGCGCATACGACGTTCACCTTCAGTTCGTGTTCGTTTAGAAAATTGATCGAAACGGTCGTGGAGGCTGAAGGCGTGTTCCAAGTCGTTTCCAACGTCAACATTGTTGGCTGTTTTCTGACACTCGGCTATCCAGTCCTGTAAATTATATTGGTCATTTATTTAATTCTGGCGAAAGAGCTACTCACTGTGCAATTCTTAAAATCATTTCTCGAGGCACAATATGATGTTAGAACCGTTTTTAGGTACTTTTTATTTCAGTCTTTGTGGTCAAAGGTTTCTCGAAGCTTAGTGATGGTGCTTGCTTCTGTCTTTCGCTAACTCTACTAATGTGTCTGCGTATTACATGAGTTTTGAGAAATTCGACGCAGACATGTGATACTCATACTTAATCTCCGTTCTTCCACTACCTTGAACTGCGATAACTGCTACACCAATTCACTATTTTTGACATTCTTACTTGGGAGGTTCGATTGTTTGTCGTCTTCCACCAGACGTATTTTAGCTACACCACTGACGTGCCAATTTTGGTACCGAAAATGGGTAGAATATCATGAAGAATAGAAAGCAGTGAGAAAGTTTCCCTATGTATTACAACGCGGTACATTTCGGAGATTTCAACCAAGACAATCGGAATTAACTAACACGAATTTACACTAAAATCATTTTCAATTCAGAATCATGAAAAGAAGGAATGCAAAGATCAACCACCACAAGACCACTTTGTTTAATCTCAGGAAACAATTGCCTAAATGCCGATTTTAAACTAGTTGGACAACTCGTTAACTCAATGTCCGAAATCAATGTCTTTTAAGTCCTTTTGAGTTGCCATTAGAAAACAAAATCCATAAACGCAAGTACGGTGATTGCATTCCGGCAAAGTATAAAACCAAATTTTCAAAAACCTACCACTTGACCACCCAAATCGCGACTTAGAAGTCCTGCTCTATTTGAGAGTGTCCGTGTGGAACACTCGAAAAAATGTTTTACGGAAATTCTTATTAGATCAAGAGTACTGTGAAGAAAATAATTAAGAAGGACAAACAAAGTTCCTATATCGACCTTCGTCCATGACTGTGAAGAGCAATATTATTATACAATCGAGACGCAGCAATCGATTTGATTAATTTCCCACGAAAGCAAATACGAATAGCCCTAATGATTGATTTGATTATCTAATTTGTACGAATGATTTCGTCTTGTTGGCATATATTTCTCGATTTCTGAAGTTTTACGAGGAGTGAATAGCATTCGATAGGTAACTAACCGCTGTCTAAAAGAAGTGAAAAGATGGTTATGGAAAATATGAAATTCTCTTGAACGGCAAGCCTAATGAATTCTCTTTCATTAGTAATTGTCTGTGATTTTAAAATTATCAGAAAGAACAATTTCTTGAATGAATAATAACAAGGTTTAAACAAGGCTACATAAAACTCTCTGTCAGGTTAATGCATGTAAAGCAGCGTAATCCATTAACAATTCTCTCTTAGGGGATCGGCGGTTACCTCAAGATCGTTAATATCTAGCATGAGATCATGCAATGTGATAGCCTCCAAAAGGTCCTTTCGGCGCTCCATAACTGAACTTCCGAGCGATGAGAAGTCATCCAAGAGTCTCTTTGCAGTATTAGCAATAAATGACTTGGTAACCGGAGGAGCAATAACAAAGTTGCCATTGATCTGCACACCAGTGGAAAGCTGATTGGATAGTTCGTTGGCGCGGTGTTTGATTCGATTTGTCTCGTTAGACCAATTGGCCATGCTCTCATTTAGTACGTTCAGCCTGCGCAGGGCTCGATTCGCCTCGTCCATATTCTGAAGTAGGAAATTATTGTAAAATCGTACTGAGGCAAGACAATAAATAGCGATCATCATGCTCGTTCCAATCTGAAGCTAACATCGCCCTCCTTTATGGAAGATAAAGTCATTTTCTCTGACTCTGAAAGCATTTACGAATCGTTCAGGGATGAAAAAATGTGGCTAAAATTATGGCTAAACCGAATGAAAAGATAGAGATATTGATTTTAATTCAATGTAAAACCCTAAATTCACCGTAGAAACATCATTACACTCAGATTTAGCAAATCCAAATGATCGTTTAATTAAATAAGCTTAAACATTTTTTTGAGGGAATGAACGACGGAGTATAGGAGGCAAGAAGTAGAGGAAGTCATATAGGTTAGACCAAAGGTATCAATGTAGGTGATAACAACTTAACGGAAGGATTCTTTTTCCTAGTTAAGGACCGATGGATTCAACTCCTATATACTGACCACTTTGAGGTTACCTTAAAGTAAGAGGAATTGTGTACTTATGGAAAATATACCCCTTTCACCTCAAATCCAATCAACCATAAAAGAAGCACTCAAAAGAGCACAAGACACGTTTAAAATGGCATTTAACTCAATTCTCCGCAATAGCTATGGATAAATAGCCAATAATTTTACTAAGGGCACTAAGACCCTAGAATTTGGTGAGATGCAATTAATAAGTGATATATAACACCTCAAAACATCATCCAAAGTTGCAAATTTCACGATTTTTTGTTGGTTACTGTGTCGGCAATCGCTCTGATCTAATGCAGGTCTACCTGCCCCCCTGGCATCCTAAAATTTGGTTTAGGAAGAAATTGTCGCTAGTTCTTTGATATCGAGGCTTATAAGCGGTAAATGTTCGAGAAATAATGGTGTTTCTAAAAGGAGGCTTTGGAAATCAACCAATGTCTTGGAGTGACTATAGCACTGTCTTCTACCTGTGTTTCTTTTTAATGTCAACTATATTCTGACGGTATTTAGTGAACACCTTAATCACAACAGGGGAAATTAGACTTTCAACAAAAGCAACAAATAGGTGCCTACAGTTGGATCACTGATGCTTTGTAAACAGAGTTCTCTTTCAGACATCCAAGCCTCAAGATTGTAAGCGTCGAAGGAAAACTTGTGAATGGCATCCGCCAGTCGTAACTCCTCACGGCGAACTTCAAGTAAGTGAGTAACGGTGTACCAGGCTTGTTCCAACTCACCAAGAACTTCTCGAAAGCTCTCCAATCGCGCACCAGCATTGGCTTCCGCACCAAAATAGGTTTCTTTCACTCTCTAGAAATATATCAAATGGTATAAGGTGGATAATCGAATCTCATAACATAAATCCATCTTCTCCGCATTTTCACCATTTTGTCTTGAAGTGTGCGATTGACTTACCTCCACTTGGTGCACACTGGGCAACGTATACTTATACGGTGAAAGTCTACAAATCGCCAGTTGACTTCTGATTTCAAACTACCATGACCCCATCGTAGGTCATATTCGACCACTTCCCCCGTACTCACCTCTCCATACCTTTTTCTCTTTTACATCTGTAAATCACTCTTCTGTTCCCCCTCTTAACTTTTTCTCACTTTGATGTGCCTTCCTTTTCTAAAGCCCGAAGTCAATCAAAGGCCTAATAATGACTATCATATGGCCTGCATTTTGATATATAAAAAAATATTTTTCTTACCATGGTAATATTCCACTAAAGAATCTTTTCAATCTTTGATTCCTTTAAACATTGTTGGAAGCGAGGGAAAATATGGAGTCGTTTAAATGTTCAGAGAGGGAGGGGGGGGGGTGTGGCAGGAGGGGAGAATAAGGTTTTCCATGGCAGCAAGCTCATTAATTCTTAAATAAATTTGCATTCCAAAAGCAATTTTCTTAACTATTTTAGTGAAGAAATAACCAAAATAAACCGTTAACAATAGATAGCCGGAAACTTTAATGTAAGAGAGATTGAAATTCTTGAATTATCATTTCAACCGCGATATTGGCTAAGCCTTAATTAGATGTGGGAATTGAAGACCCTTGTTCAAATACATTTACAGCATCAGCGAGGATAGCAAAGCAATTTTCTACACAAACTCGAGGTTTGAAAACCCCATATAAGCCAATATGAATAAACTCCTCTTTGACCACCAGAATAATATCTACTGGTCTGTAAATTGAAACTCTTGGCCAGCCAACTCCGAGCACGAGTACTTTACTAATTAAAGTAATAGAAGTCTTCTCCGTTTACTACGTTGCAGACCCGAATTAAGGCAATTGTTAAAAATGATGCACTAGGCACCTCAATCACCTATACAAGAAACAGACAATACGATGACTCCAGAGCACGTATCAGATTAAATTCTCCTCCATATTAGCCAGGGTTGCTTTTCTCAAGGTAAATGTAGCAACTTCGCATATTTTCGCCTCAGTAACTGGAGGGAGAAAAGGAGACGCGAATGGCAAAATCTCGCCAGAGAATCTTCCTTGGTATTTATAATAGCAGGAAGACAGGAGGGACGTTTTTCGAAATATTTCCCTGAATAAACCGTGGGATAAACTTTCAAGCTAATCAAATCGAAATCATTCGGAAGAGTAAGGAATGATTAGAAGCCATCTCAGAGATGAGGTTCATGTTTCTGGCCACTAATTACCGATAATTAGTTTTATTGACAGAGCGAATATACAAGGAAAGTTATGTCCCAGGAAGGAATATTTTGTGTTCCAAAGTGAGTATCCACGAAAGGTCAGCAGTGGAATTCGTAAAATGACTTCTTCAACGTCCAAAACGACTTTGTGAACTTATGCAAAGAACTGGCAGACAGAGTAGTTCGTTATTCTTGCGCCAATGTGTAATTGACACACTTGGTGGTCATACATTTACATCGGCAGATTATGCAGAGCTCTATATCACTTTGACCAAACTAGTAGCTGGCTCCAATATTCGCGTTGCACATTGCTTATGAGTAAGTGAAATTTAAATACGAGTTCTTCCAACCTTGCCTATTCGAGTTCGTCAAGTCCTGAATCTCTTGCGTACTTCTTAGTTCTTGCACAACCACCTAACTAAGTGAATTCGTGATCATCAATGGAAAAAGGTAGACTTACAATGCAGAGATTTTTCACTCTAGGTCCACGGTTCTCCACTTCCGTTATATGGTTCGTTAGTCGCCGTTTCTCCTGTTGAACCCGAAGTAATTGCTTTCCTACAGCACTCCTGTGTTTCGGTGTCCAATCATCGTAAGGCTGTCTGATTTGTATCAATTTGTCCTTCACCCACAGCAACTCCGAATTGAGCTCAAGCAGATGACTAGCAATCGAGCAGTGCAAATTGAGTAATTCTTCACGTTTTTCTAATGCCCCACCTACTGCCACCAATTGCTTCTCCACCTCTGTGTTTACTGCTGTAAAATCGGCCGCTCTATCAGGATAAAATTGTGACAGGGACTCAGTATGCTCCTAGGCAAATAAAGGATCATTTTGTTACTGACTTTAAGATAATAAGACAACTTTGAATACCCCGATTAAAACTGACCTTAATTACATTGGCTTCCCCTGAGTACTTTTCGTACTCATGGCAATCTCTTTCGTGAGCTTCAAACCGACGTTGAAGTTCGGTCAACCCTGAGGTGCTCAAACTAGGATCTTCAATATCGGTCTTGACTTTCGCTAGCAGTCTCTCAGCCCAATGTAGCAGATCTTGAACAGTCTCGTTCAGTAGAAACTCTGGAATTAAAAGGAACTCTGCAAATCGATTGGCATAAAAGTTATAGAGTTAGCAAAAAAAGACAAACCCCTATGAGATTCCTCCAGTCTCAACAATTGGCTATGAAGTCGATGCAGAAGGGACTCCCAATTTACGTAGATGCCATCAATTCGTGCAGATATAACACGGTCAACACGAGAACATTGATCAATAAGATCCTTTCCAGTCTAAAAGTAGTTCATGTTAGATTAGCGTAGTGCTCAGCATTCGGTCTTAAACTACACGAGCAAATTAAACGGACCACACCTGAATGATACCCTCGGCACGTTCCCGACTGGACTCAATCTCCTCTTGCAAAGCTTTCACTTGGGCATAAGCACTTGCAATGTCTCGTTTAGATGTCAAGTCCACTTGATTTAGAGCCAATGATTTCTCGCCCATCCAATCCTCAATCTGGATTTAAAGGGAAAAATTATGTAACAAAAAGTCCTGTTTTTCCATTTAGAACGTATTATGAAGTCGATTGCTGTGAAATCCAAACATTACTACCAGAGACTTCTAAATTCGACAAGATTTCTAACCTCTCACAACTACCCCTATATACATTAAAATACTATGTCGTATCATCCTTGTTTCCTCTACTTGAATGGCAATGAAGATCAGTCGTATATAATATATATATATATATATATATATATGTACTAATTCTTGGCACTCCACACTTTCCGTTTCTTATTGAGGCACTTTCTCACTGAAGTTGATTTCACCCAGTTAATTACCATCCACAACTACAATAGGAAATTGAGTCAGGTTAAGCAATTCACTCCCTGAATAGTCAATGACTACAGTACTAGAGCTATTTCACATCTAGGCCATCGACAATTCACAACAAGATGCTAGAAGTCTATCATTTTCAATCCATTGCAAATTATGATTATCTTGTTATCCATTAGGATGGAAAATAATTAGATGACATTGGTATAATAAAGACATAAGTGAGAGAAAGTCTGTTGACGCAACTCACATCGTCAAAATCGTTCAGCAACTCGTATAGCCTATGATTCTCCCTCAATAGACGTTCGCGCTCATCGGACTTCTCTTTGTTCCTTTCAAGTCTACAATCGACAGTTGAGGCATTTCATTACGTTTGCAAAAGGCGTCAACGCTATAAGCGATTCCATAGCAATTTTATGACACGTGCACTTCCCTATTCTCATTTAATCACCCACATTAACAAAATCATTCCAATCAAGAAAATAAATCTGCCTAATTTGTTTCAGCCTACTTCTAAAAATATTGAAATGAGCCTAATGAACGCGTATTCAATAAACTCAATGCAAGTCAACCTTTACTTTTGAAGTGGGGAGGAGGCGTATTTGAGCGTGAAAATCGGACCTGCATTACCCACCACATTCATGTCAATGATTATCCATGCTTTGTGGCTAGTTGATCAAATGGGACAGTCAATGTCACCGCTTTACCTTATTTTGTCCCCCTCAATGCCAAAAAGTGGGTATTTGTCTGAACATTGAGGGTATGAATTCACGTAGGTACAAGACAACCAAAGGCAGATATGTGGCATTTCTAAAATTAAGTGACGTGAGTCCTTTTCTTAATTTCTACTCATTAGCCAACTTCTAATTCGCTTACCTGACAATTATCACTTGTTCACTGTGTTCATGGCCAATTCTATTATTAAAAATTTCATATCATCCAGAGGTGACGGTTTAAGTTGTCAGTTCAACTTCTTCAACCAACTACTATAAGTTATTGATGATTAGAGATAATTTTCAATTCATGCGTGTGCACCGAGAATCTTGTCTTAAATTCTTCCTAAATTCTATGAAAATATAAAAATCACTATGCAGGAAAACTTACTCAAGTTTCATTATGCCAAGCGTGTCGGCAATGTATATAACATCGACAAGCATATCGATATCCGTTTCAATTTCATTCATACCTTCTAGAAGGGCCTCTTCAACCACCCTGATCTGATCATATGAAGACCACAAATTTCCAATGCAAGATCTCCATTCATGAGTGCAAATATTGAGAAAAAGTGGTAATAACTTTGGGTGTTTTAATAGACACGAATGTGTCTCATCAATGTGGGTTGAAGTCAACAAAGGGAAAAGTTGAACGCACCAACTGGTACAAAAAGTAATTCATATTTACTCACGACTCTCGAAGATTGTTCAATTCGCCAATAAAACAACTCTCACTTCCACGAAATGCACCAAGTAGGTCTCTGGCTTTACGATCCAATGCATTGAACCTGTTCCAATAGGAGAGGAGTGGAGTCATGAAGGCTTCATGTTCTTTCTGTTGGACTTGAACAGCTTCAAGAGAATCCTTGAGTGACAAAACACAAACCAAATGAATGGTGCGTAGCTTGAATTTCTAATATATGACATTTCCAACTATTGGCATGTATGGATTATCACTGAGGAGGGGGGGGGGTACTGATTTTATGTTAAAGTAGTTAGGGAGTTGCAACAATGTTCTCGATTTAAGGAGAGCCTGTTTTCATATTGGAAAGGGTTACACAGTACTAATAATATTTTATAAACTATAGTATTAGCCATTCCAACTCATAGATCTGTTTTGTCTCTGTTTTGTGCCAATACTTGATTTTGTGTATCACTGAATGCATCCGCATCAAATATCCACAAAATGACCCATCAGGGTAGAATAACTTGTGCCCTAACGTATAACTTACTTTGCCTATCTATTTCACTGCAAATTACCTCTCTTCCAAATCGCCCATTCTCTCACAATTCCTCTTTACTTCTCATCTCATCTCCTTTTTACTCCCATTCATCCCCGCCTGCCAAGCCTACTTTGGTCCAAAACCCTCTCAAGGCCTTTTCCCTCGAGAAAGGTTCATGGATTTTACTTGCCATAGGAACAACACAATTCCCTTTCACTCTCATTCGTCCCGGCGAGTGCAAACGCACTCTTGTTTTAAACCCACTCCTCGTCTTGTCACTCGAGAAATGCTCTTGGATCGTTCTCGTCATAAGATCGCTCGTTCTGAAAGAGTGTATTTAGACCAATTTGTACTGGAATAAAATGTAACTTTGTTTCTGATTGAAATCACTTCCACACACTTTATGGGCAAGACCTAATACGTAAAATTCTTAACTTCAGTACCCTCAAACAAGCACACGAGCAATCATTGGCTGCCGTGGAAGGAAAGCGTCCTAGCAACGCACTTACAAGATATTCACCTTCGATTACTCCACCTTCATTTACGCCCAAGGCTTTTCACAATACCACACATCGACTTATCTTCATGTGGTGCACCCTGGGCAACGTATACTCATACGGCAAAAAAGTCTATTACCTAGCAGTTGACTTCAAACTACCATGACCCCGCTGTATGTCATATTTGACTACTTCCACATTATTCGCCTCACCTTTTTTATACCCTTGTTTCAGCCTCATTATTCCACCTACCCCTCTCGACTTTTTTTCACTCTGATGTTCGTTCCCCTCTGTGGAGCTTGAAGTCTACTAAAGGGCTAATGATAGCTATCAAAACGCCTGCCATCTGATATAAATAAATAAATTTTGTTTTACTTTCTGTCAATTCATAATCGTTTGTGATATGTGTTCGTACTTTAACTTGCTAAGGAGGCCATAGGTGAGCCCTGAATGCACTACTATATGGCCTGTTGCCTCCTGCTCCACTAAGCACTAAAGGGAGTGGCTTAAAGTATGAGCACGTATTTTTCCAAGTGCATAACAGAGTAACGTACCATTTGGAGTTGTTGATTCAAGTAGACTTCTTGTTGAATCACTGCCGCCTTGAGACTTCCAAGTTCTGTGAATAAACCCTGAAATGATCAAATAAATGCTATTAGAAGGATGCAATCAGACAATATTTTGCACAGTCTCAAATAGATCTCAAGTCTAGGCGCCTAGAATGTCACTTATCACCACTAAGACTATTGGCATGTGCAAGTTCTTGAGACTGAATGAGCGAAGCTCTTTCGTTATGTCCTAAACTGAGGGATTAAGAGAGTGAGCACGGATGGGGCCTTTCATCTTCCTCCTCTAATATCGGATCCATTAACCTTCCAGGATCGAACCAAGTTGCTAGAACCAAAGGAGTCTCGGATTCGAAGCGAAACACGCCCTCACTCATTTACCTCATTCTAACTTACTTCTCCCCACTGATCAAACTAAAGAAGTCTGCATTAAGATTAGGATTCAGTTGGTAAATGTAAATGAATGGTATAAATCAATAGATGCTGATGCTGATGTCGAAATGATTGAGATGTAATATAGAAAATGTTGAGACTCTATAACAGCCTTACAATGGCAACGTTGTTCCTCGCTTGATACAATTCGATTCTCCCATAAAATGTTATTTGCCTAAATTGCCATAATGTACATCAATAATGAGGACAAAATTAACAAATTCTGCAGACGAAAATCGAATGCTGCAATCTTTCGACTAACTTATAAATGTCTATAAGCAACAGAACCCTGGCAATTTACCAGATTGTTATATTCTAGATGTACCTGGGGAAATAGCAGCAGTACTGCCATAGAAACCTGCACACTACTTGTCAATGTCAAAGGTCGGGGATACAATTATCATTGGTGTAACTCAGAACGCAGAAGGGAAAACAACACTGACCAAATATTGTTAATAAAGGGGATAGTGAAACTGGAATTTCTCACCAGAGAGGATCCACGGAAATATCTTCCACAATGGGGCTTTAGAACTAATAACATTAACGTTTTCTTATGAAGCTCTCAAAAGTCAAAATGTGTACCTGAACTGCGATGCTTTGCTCAAGGTTGGTGATATTTCTTCGAATCAGATCGCAAGTTGATGCATATTCCTCAATAATTTGATCGGGATCGGTGCCAATGTCCTCTCCTGATGGTTCAGCACCTTCTGACACAGTCACCACTTTTTCGTAACTCCCAAGTAGTTCCGCTAGGTGATCTTCAGCATTGAGTAACTCTTCTAGGTCTTCCTCTTGAGCTGACATCGATAACTTAATCTCCTGAATCACAAAATTACAATTAAAACAGCAAATTGAAAACATTCATAGACGCTAGCTCGATACATACCTCAACATTGGAAGGAACTGAAAATCCTGTATTCTTCTCCTTCAAGTAATTGACCCATTTCGAAAAATCACCCAGACACTGCACTGAACGTAAATGTCCTCCATGAAGAGTTAGCATATTTTCAGACTCCTCAATTTGTCTCTCGAATTGAGCCAACTTTCCACACAGAGCATCGTGTTCCTTGAGCAGCAATTCTTGTCTCTTAATCAAGGAGGAATCTGAGGCTTCACAACAAGCTGTTACCTGCTCTGCAATATCGTCAACCTTTGCTCTAATCACTCTGGCATCCGACTTGAGAGACTTTAGAACCATATTCAGTTTAGTGAGTTCCATAATTGTTGAAATATTCGTCCATATATGGTTATTCAAGTACACCAACTTCTCATCAATCCAGCCAGATGTAAAGAAACAGTCTTGAGCGAGAGATAGGTATGCTTGATCCAAGTTTACTCGAAACCTCCTATCTTCAACTCGATCTGCTAATTTATTCCATGCATCACTGAGCTTATTCCTATTTTCCGTCACCTTCAAAAGAACAGCCTCCGCATCCTCCATTTTTCCGCTATGTGCGGCTTCAATTATACTTGATGCCGTTTTGTTGGCGTCTTTTACCTTTTCAGCCATCTCAATCATCTGTTTTTCTATTTCACCCAGCCGGCGTTCGATAAAATCCAGTCGCTCACTCATTTCACCTGAAATGCCTTTCTCGTACACAGTGTCAAGATTAACAGGCTCTAAGCGATCGAGAAGCGCAATTTTCTCAACTATCCACTCATGTGTCTGACTGCAATTATTCAAGAACTGCTCAACAGTTAGGGAGTCAATCAATACCGCTTGCTTCTTCTTGATCTTTTCAACTAGAAGGCTGTAAATCTCGAACAGATTCTGCGTCTTTTCAAACAAGATACATTCCACTTCATTGCAAACATTTAATAGGCTTCTAACAAGTCTACTTGCGTCATAATTTTGACTGAATTCATTTGGAATATAATCGAATCGCTTGAGTTCTTCCTTTAGTGCCATCGCCTTTTCATTTATATTTTCTATCACTTGAAAGTACGCCTCCACCTCTTCAAGTATTCGCTGATTGACACGAACTGATGAGTCCACGGAGGTGGAATCGTTTAAGTCTAAGATTTTCGACTTCTCTGTGATCCAGTTACCTGAATCTTCAATTTCCCCATTCAAGAAAAGAACATCACCAACAAAGATGGCCTTACTTTTGATACAGTCAAGGACCGTGTGGACCAATCTCCATGATGCCCTAAAGTCATTGATTTCTCGGTCATATTTCGATTCCGATGTGAATTCATCGATCAATTTGAGACTGTTTTGTTTATCAGCGATATCGTCCTCAGCATAGCAAACTTGTCGACGAATTCGATTTGCTACAGTGTATACAAACTGGAACTCAATTTCTTCCACGAAGTGCATTCGAGTTTTCACATAATCCCTAAAACGAGCAATACCTGGAAGCAGGTGGCATTGTTGTTCAACAAATATGATTCTCCTTCTCTTTTCCTCGGCTGATAGTACAATTCGCTCCACCACATCACTCCATTCTTTTTCCAATTCCTCACTGTGAGCGTCACGATGCTTCCTGAAGAGATTATCGACCTGTATACATAGGGTTTTAATTTCATTATCAACTGTTTCGATATTTAGCAATGCATGCTGAACTTGCTCAACTGTATTTCCAGGCTCAATTCTATCAATGCGTTCTCTTAATTCTTCACCACATTTCATCAAGATCTCAAATTCAATATTTCTTTCAATGTAGAAAATTTTGGCTTGAATAAGAGCCCGTTGGTTTTTGATGGTGTCCAGGAGGAACAACCACCGACTTGCAACATTCTGAGATCTTGAATTGATCGTCTCTTCTCTAAAGTACCCACAACGTCTTAATTCATCTGCAATTTGAAGAAGCATCTCAATCCGATCTTCATAGGCGTACACATCCGCTTCAAAGGCCTCGTGTTTCTTCAGAACCAAGGTGAGTGCATATGGACTAGTTCCACTCACCTCCTGTTCCGCAATTTGTTGATTTTCCAACAGCCATGTTTCCCTTAGGGCACACTTTGTCTCAAATTTGAGGTATAGCTGATCCAGCATCTCCTGTCTTTTTAATTCATCGTTCAAATTCAACCATTGCTCATATTCACAATGCTCCAAAACCTCCCAAGCCTTGTTCACTTCCCAAATTGTCAACTTCTTTGGAGGTATATATGAGCGCATGCCTACAGCAAGCATTTCATTTTTTATAGAAAGGAATGCAACCTCTAGTTCACCCTTTTCGCAAAAGTGTGGTGGCTTTTCTTCAATTCGGAATCGATTGAATTGAGTTAGCTGATTTCGAAGATCGTCCAGATTTCCATACAGTGGTGTACTTTTAAGGCGTTGAATGCTCTCGTTAATCCATTGAAGGAGCCTTCCCACGGACAGCTCGTAGTCCTTGACTTCATTGATGAAACGCATTAGAAGATGTATAACACGTTCAATGCGTCTGGCATGCACTGTGTTCACCTTTTCAAGGGCAAAGTAATGGTAAAATGAGACAAGATAGGTGATGATTGACTTTTCTTCTGGCTCTCCTACAATAATATCCTCAGGATCCAATAGTTTTGGTATTCCAAAGCATCTTTCAGCTGTCGTGAACGCGATATGCAAGTTCCGTAAAGGCTCATCAAGTGAAAGAGAATAGAAATCAATCAGATCTGGTCGGTGCCTGTGAATCAGAGCTGCAAATCCGAGACCGTCTCTCCAACTATTTGTGAAATTGCTTATTTCTACATTTGGATAGCCTTGAGTCTTGGCCTTGCACCATAACAACAGAGCCTCAGTTGAGTTTCGACGTAGGCCAACTTCTTCTTCGTTGCCAACACGTCGGACTTTCTCAATAACTGAAATGTTTTGAATTTGAAACCGCAAAATTATGGTCCAGATCAATCCAAGAATTATACGACTATTTCCATCAACGACGTCGTGAGCACCAATATTCTCAAGATGAACATTTAAGTGATCCAAAAATGCCAAAGATTTCTCAACATTCTCTAAACAGTGAATTCGCATGCGACCCGGTGTTGGTGGAGGCTAAAAATGAAATGGATATAATTTTTAGCTTACCATTTTGTATCCTGATACACGCTCGATAAGCTTAAGTAGAATTCTTCCATCAAATAAATCCTTGAAAAGGTCCTCAATTTGTCTAGACTCATTGCTCAGAAATGTGTTTGACCACTTAGTAAATGTTTTCTTTTGAATTCTTTCACGTTCCTCTGTACACATCATAGATGAAGTAAACTATACCTACCAGCTAAAGTTTTAATGCGAGTTCGCTCGTATAATTTGCCTCCAATTACTGAGGGATTATGAGGTCCATATAAGTAATGATTGATCACTGGAGTATTATATCGCGGGGAATAGAAGGTTGATCGAAGAGGTCTTTCGATTTGTGCATCCATCTAGCCCCTATCTTATCCCAATTCAGAGAGGCCACCCACCACTTAATATTTTGCGACTCAATAAGGCCTTGAAGATTAACAAAACTTAATCCACACAAACACACTCAAATTATAAATTAAAGTAATATTTAGTAAATTTATGCGTCAAAGAAAGCACTATAAGTGAAGTGAAAATTGAACAAACAATCATAAGCTAATTACATATTTCACGGGATAAACCAATATACGAAATTGATACCATACGTGTAGTTATTTATTATAGTGTATACAGAATGAAGCTGTCTTTTACTTAAAAAGGGATAAAAGCGAAAAGTAATAAATTTACTGTTTTTAAATAAATTATTTCGATATCTAAATATTTATTAATTTTACATATAATTTTACATATTAAATATTTGCTATAAATCATTAATTATCGTTATAAAACTCTTCTTCCAAAATGTGTGTAGTAATTTTCAATTCCATCCATCAATAATTTCGTAGATATCTTATCTTTCAAAATGCTATTGCTTGCACAGTGTATTTAATTGCATAGATTGTTGTTTCTGATGTAGGGATGAAGTAAAATTTATTAGTACTGGTAATGAGACTATATACATTTAAGCTGTGAATCTACCGTAGAACCAATGACATTTCGAAATATGTCAGAATTTTCCTTTACCTTTACCGTTTGCATTTACTTATAACGAAGTCTAAACAAGTTAGCCTAAATGATTGTTCAATAGACATGTATGTAATAGTGTAATAAAGGAGCTGCTAATATTGAGCTGTTCATTATTATTTTTCTCTTTTTTACAATGTTAAATCAATATGATAGCGAGTATAATTTTGATGCATTACATTATTTAATTAAAATTTTTCATCCTTTGTGTTGTAAAATGGCTGATTTTGTCCTTAAGTGCTAGTCTATCCTACCTACCTCAATTGTTGCATACAAAGTGTAACCAGACCTCTTTCACAGTACTCGTAGACAGTGAATTTGTGCTTTTACTCGTCTGGTAAAGTTGCCTATATAATTGCTAAACATTAAAGTCAGAGTCATTGATAACGGAATATGACTGGCAGCAAAAGATGAGTCGTTTCTAAAGCATCATCTTGGTTATTTATGCATTGGAATCACTTCCTGTCAAACTCTGAACTGATATATTGCCACGATTCATAATCCATAAGAAAATTTCAATAAATGCTTGCAATAAAATATTGTATTGCCGATTTTTTAATTCAGTTATTGACCTCATAACATTTAATGCGACAATGCTTTCACAGTGTTTACTAACAGATTTTTACGGTGTTGAATAAATGAGGTTTAAAAGCTTAATGTCATTGCTCTCAGTTAATAGGCTAGCTCCCACGACAGTATCAAGGAGAGAGGGGGGGGGGACGAGGGAGTTGGTTTGAAAAGTCTTAGCTTTAAATTACTCAATCGAATGACAGCATTCTGGTGGAGATGGTAAGGTAACTCCCCATTATCTTCAAGTTGGCTTCAATATGTTCAAATAAGGTTTTTGTTAACAGGACATATTGACTGTCAATAAAAGTAAGTTTTATATAGCTTAGCAGACAGGAGTCGACATGAGATTATTGTATTGCGGAATCATTAGCATGACATTTGGAAACTTTTATATATTTTGAATATTTTACAGCTAAACATAATCTAACAGACTACAAAGAAAACATGTCTATTAATAAAAAAATTTCGTCAAAATGTAGTTCATTGCTTTGTTGACAAATACAACCACATCAAAAGTAAAAAAGTCGTTATAATCCAGCAAGTACTATAGATTATAGATTATTATTAGTACTGTGCAAAGAGTATCGTTAATCTTGATCCACACACTTGGCATAATGAAACTTGAGTATGTTTTCCTGCATAGTGATTTTTATATTTTGATAGAATTTAGGAGGAATTTAAGACAAGATTCTCGGTGCACACGCATCAATTGAAAATTATCTCTTATCATCAATAACTTATAGCAGTTAGTTGAAGAAGCTAAGAAAAGTTAGCATCATATTTAGGAAAAAATATAACCAAGTATTAATAACTCCTATTATTTGTCAAAGAATTTGGACTGCACACTTTCTTGCAGTCAGGTGGGCAAAATGAAGTGAAGTGTTGCCGTCCATTGTCCCATTCGATAAATTTGCCACGAAGCACTCTCAAACATTCTTCCTCCATACTTCAATGTTCATCGAATTTATTGGACAAGTGTCCATTAGTCCATTTCAATATTTTCAGAAGTAGCCGCAAATAAAGTTGGAAGAAAAATAATTGGGTAGATTTATTTTCTTGATTGATATGATTTTTTAAATATATTTCTACCGCATCAAAGTATGAAGGTCATTATAATCATGCCTTGGGATTGCGATAGATTTACCACCACGTGGTGCACACTGGGCAACGTATGCTCATGCGACATAAATGTCTATAAACCGCAAGTTGACTTCTGAATTAAATCTACCAAGACCCCATTGTTTATCATATTCCACCACTTCCACAGTAGTCATCTTACTTTTCTCTGTCTATGTGTCTGCCTGTCTCTTTTGCATCTGTGAATCACTCTTCTGTTCCCCCTCTCAACTTTTTCTCACTTTGATATTTCTCTCCTCTATGAAGCCCGAAGTCAACTGAAGGACTAGCAATAATCATCAAAATGCCTGACATTTGAAATAAATAAATAAATAAGCATGTCTAATTTCCCAGACGAATGAATCATTACTGCTACTTGAATGAACTCGCTGATAATCGAATGTCTCACTTAAGTGACTCAAATGCACCCCACCCACCCACCCATCAACCCACCTCTCTCTCATCCTCCCACAATAACACCAACTTGCACTGAGCATCGATTTGGAAATCTGTTACTCATTGCACAGCCAATCACATGAGCTAAAGGCTGCCTACTTAATGATATTAGTGGCACTGCTATTAGAAGATTGCATGCACTGCAATGGACCCTGGCGTTGAAAGCCGTTTTGATGCTAATCAAGATGCTCAGGCTATACATGAGGCTATGGGACAATTAAGTATGTCGTAAAATCAGGTTTGCCTTTACCCTCTGTTTGATTTTAAGGTTTATCTAAAGATCGTATTATTGAAATGATTGCTCACATTCCATTGGAAACACGTGTGAAATTGCCAAAATATTTCGAAAGAATGGGCGAGGTAAAATAAACCAATTACCATCAATATCCATGTATTTTTATGAAATCCACATTATGCCTAATGATATCAGTCACTGATGTTATGGTTAAATATAATTGAAGTTCTATTCACTTTGAAAAAAGGATATAATTCAAAAACTGAAAAGTGTATTCAGGGAAGACCTTGAATTGGCCATTTTGTGGTCTTTCTATGATCGAGCTCACTTGAATGCAGCAGCTCTTCAAAAAGCCATGAATGCCACTGAAACTGACAACGATCTGCTCATTCATGTTATATGCACTGCCGACGAATATGAAATAAGGCCAATGAAGGGAGCTTTTCAAGAGAGTAAGTGGCTTATTTTTCACAGAATTTAATTCAATTAGAAGTTGGGAACAATTTGATCCAAAATTCTATTTCATTTTAATTCTGTGCCATGAGAATTGCGTAATCAAATATTTAGTGCAACTTGATGTATATACGTACTCCACTAGATAAAAAATTCGATATTTGGAAAGGACCACTTCAGTAGAAAATTGATTCAATAGGTAATGGAAGGATATAGAATGAAGTATTTTGTGAATGGAACTTAAAATAAACTAGGCATCTAGGCGTCTCAGTAGATCACATCTGGCAAAGAGGTATTTCGAATATGGTAGTGTACAAACATTGAATGACCAATAAGACACTATCAGTTATTCAGAGAAGATCTCGCTTCCTTCGAACGGAATGTTCATTACCAACATTCCACAGAATCGTCATATTGTAAATTGTAAGATTACAAGATAACCTTGACGATAGTTGACGAATAGTATTAAATGCCGCTACTATTTGGTTTACTTTCTAGTCACAGGAAAATGTCTTTTGAAGGCCATTGATAAGGAGTGTAGAGGTGACTTCAAACGTGTTCTGGTGGCGATAATCGAGGGCTATCGGGTAAAGGAATACGATGAGGTCCAAGCAAGAATTGATGCCAAAGAACTGTTCGCTGCAAGTGGAGAGTAAGCAACTTGTGATTTTATCAATGAATTCGAATCTCACACCTTATAATCTCCATTGAAAAAGACCGATATATTTTTTTTATATTTCAAATGGCAGGCTTTATGATATTCATCATTAGACTTATGATAGTTATCACTAGCCCTATAGTTGACTTGGGGCTTCACAGAAGGTATGAACAGACAAATTCATGAAAAAGTGGAGAGGGGAAACAGAAGAGTGATTCACAGACGCAAAAGAGAAAAAGGTATAGAGAAGTGAGAACTGTGGAAGTGGTGGAATATGACATACGGTGGAATGATGGTAGTTTAAAGTCAGAAGTCAGCTGGCGGTTTATAGACTTTTTTGCCGTATAAGCAAACGTTGCCCAGGGTGCACCACGTGGAGGTAAGTCTATCGCACGCTTCAATTCCGATATAAAGTAAAGAAAAAGAGATGATGAGGTTTGCGAGGGAAATGACTTCCTATCGACATGTCCAGCAATTAAGCGAGATTGTAAACCCCCCGGCATTCTTGATTATAGCTTTGCATACTTTTAAATGCTTATATGAAAGTAGATTTCGTGAGCAGGCAATGCGTGGAAGCGAATCAATTATTAAAGTCCGATCAGCTTACGAATCTGCATGGGAAAATTTGCCCACAATTGAAACTTCAATTCAGCCCTCATTGTTTGTTCCTTCTATTGTCATCTTAGATCACCATTAGATAGACATAATATGATTGATTTTGAAAGTGTGGGTTGTTCACACTCACCCGTAAGGATTTGTCTATATATATATATATATATATATATATATATATATATATATATATATATATATATATATATATATATATATATATATATATATATAACGGAATAAAGAGTTTACTAAGAAATATAGATTCAGGTAGTCGGAGACATTTAATTAAAGTGACTTCCTGCATACCCTTCAAACTGTGATTAATCAATTCGATGGCATTTAATGAATGCTAACTTTTTAGCAAACTTGAGACCACGTTTATTCGCATTTTATGCGGTAGCAGCATGAAACAAACTCGATTAATTGACAAATACTACCAAGTGGTAAGTGCATTGCACTTGGAGACATGATATAACTCTCATAAATAACTAGACCCAGTCTGTTGATTTGCAGTTATCTGGGCATGATCTAATCACCGTCATCGAGAAGGCGTTATCTGGTGATGTTGGAAAGTCGTTGAAGCTCATTGGTGAGTTCTGTTTAATTAGTCACTTCCTTGATTCATATCGCACATTTATTCAACAATTAGGCACTGGAGAATGACGAAGAGCGTTGAATATTGAAAAGAAAACATTTAAAATCACTCTTTTTTATTACTTTGCAGTAAACTTTGCTAAAAACAGGATTGCAACTCTTTCGGAAATGCTCTATGAGAGCCTTCAAGGAGGTGTAACTCGGAGTGCTAGCGTAATACGCATCGTGCTTGCACTTGCAGAGGTAAATACGGAACAATTATGTGCTATAAATTAATCATGAACATCAGAGCTTAATCCTCTGTTTGTGCATATTTATAGGGTGAATTGGGGTTAATCAAAGTTTACTTTGATTTAAATTTTGAACAATCGCTTGCAGAAACGATTGGTGCACAAACCTCTGGAGATTACAAGAAGTTCCTCCTAGCTCTCTTCCCATGAACGCTTCAACAATTTTTTAAACATAAAGTGCTCAAGTGATTTCTTAGCGACTTCTAACTAAGCGTACAATTCGTATCACAATTAAATGAAGGCTTATTTTAAATCATGTGTTTTTGACCACACATGGGGAGTCGATATTTCGGTAATACTTCGGTCGATTGAAGTAACGTTGGGGGGTAGAAAAACAAACTCGATTCGATTGTTTTGTTACTAGAAAGTAGAGAAGCAATTTGGAGTAGTAAGGTAACGGAGGTTGAAAGAGGTCTTAATTCAGGGAAGGCTGAAAGATCAATTTTAGTTCGGTGAAGGCAAAACCGATTGCCACTCGAATATACCTTGACTTATCCGGGGTGTGCGATAGACTTAACTACACGTGGTGCACTCTGGGCAACGTATACTCATACGGCAAAACGGTCTATTAACTGGCAGTTGACTTCTGACTTCAAACTACCATCACCCCACTGTACGTCATATTCACCACTTCCACAGTACTCACCTTACCTTACCTTATCTCTACTATCCATGCCAAGATAACCTGGTGTATTTAGGAGCTACAGAAGTCGCCTTAGCAGCCTGAACTAGAGAGGGAGGGTGGGGGGGGGGGGGGGGGGGGGGGGGGGGAGAGGAAACAGACGCATGTCAAAGAATAGTGAATTAGATATTGAGTGAATAACTATTCCCTCCAATGTGAGTCATTTCATGATTTTAGGATGAGCAGCCATTCAGCAATCACCGAATGACAGCCAAATATTGTCGCAGTAAGGAGATAGAATGGATCCTCGTGTGGGAGTGGCCTGTACTACAAATTCGAGAAAATCATTGGAAGAGGTGAAAGTTGATCACTAATCTTAATCAATCAACATAAATACGAAAATAGACTCTCCTTAATCCGAGCACATTATTATAAATTCTCAGCTATTTTGCATCGTATTAGCACACCCGCCATTATAATGGCCGAATGGTAATGCTGAAAAATATCGTCAGCATTAAAAATACCAGTTAGGCATAACATAACTTATTTTCGCCTACGCACTTATGTCTGAAGTGAAATAATGCTCTGTTCAATAGATCTAATTCACTTAATGACGTTATACCACTGAGTATGACAACATATTCTCTGTCAAATAACCGGTTTTAGATAATGTTGAAAAGGAAAATGTGTTCAATATCTTAAAACCATTGATTTCAGCTTGTATTCCTTTCCTTAAATTGAGAGACCAAAGAGAAAACATGTAAACGCATACAAATGTCGTTAAAATATACTTCTACAATTTTTTGACAAATCAAATCACATAAGATTTAACAATGTCATTGTATTAAGGCACGCTCTATACGTCCAAATGAGACCTCACTGTTTATCAGATTGAATTGGCATATCACGCAAATGAGTCACCAATATACCCCACCCACCCCCCGCCCTACTACCACCGGCGCCAATTTGCCACTTGTTACTCTTGCACGAACATGTCAAGCGATAACCGAAGCGAAGGTTGTCGACAAAGGGATTATGATGAGACACGAGTAAGAATCGATGCCAAAGAACTGCTCGATACCGGTGACGAGTAGGTTAACTGTGACTTCATCGATGGAGTCGTAACTTGCACCGCGTTCAACGAAGAAGATGGCAATTTTAAATATACTGCGCTCTACACCAAGTGTATGCATCGCCATGTTCATTTCCCTTCCAATATGTAGTAATAAGTGGTCGATCACTTTCTGAGACTCCATTCCTCTGAAAAAGTACTCTGAGTATAACTTAGTAGTGAATATTCTTCTGATATACCATACTAACTTTTTTATCTAACTAAAACTGCAGTATTACCCTTTTATTACTTTAGACCACGTGCAAATTTCATAACATATTCACTTCAATTAACCTCCTTCGTATACCATAGTTAACACCACAATCTAAACGAATTTGTCATTCGTCTGAAATATTAACCAAATCGATCACTTACTATGTCATATTCCCTCAAAAATATTAAATCCTACCAGTAACTTCCCTTACTTATTATAATATAATGCAATTTGACAACACAAGCCTAAAGTAAACTATCGTTATACTAATGTGATCCACGTGTTATAAGAGATATCGAAGAGCATTCCAATGAACTAAGCATTCTTACGAACATGGAAACTTTCATAGAACGATATCGAGAAGGAAATGTTTGTAATCTCCAGATGCTTCTGCACCAATCATTTCTGCAAGCGATTGTTCGTAAGTTTCATCAAAGTAGGCTTTGATCGACTCCAAATCACTCTGTAGAAGTGAATAGGCAAAAGTGTTAGGCTTATGTTCAAGATTTCACAGCGTATAGCTCTTTCAATGTTACCTCTGCATATGCAAGCACGATGCGTATCACACTTGCACTACGAGTTTCCCCTCCCTTCAGGCTCGCATTAAGCATCTGCGAAAGAGTTGCTACCTTGTTTTTGGCATAATTCACTGCAAATTAAATTTGAAATAAATAAAATTATTCGCTTTTCCTCTTCATCAACCAGTGCCTCATTGTTGAATAAATGTGCTATATGAATCAAGGAAGTGATTAATTAAACAGAACTCACCAATAAGCTTCAACGACTTTCCAACATCACCAGATAACTCCTTCTCGATGACAGTGATTAGATCATGCCCAGATAACTGCAAATCAACAGACTGGGTCTAGATATTTATGAGAGTTGCACCATGTCCCAAACTGCAATGCACTTACCTCTTGGTAGTATTTGTCAATTAATTGAATTTGTTTAAAGCTACGATTGCACATCATGCGAATGAAGGTGCTCTCATCAGTCCCGATTTTGCTGCAAAGTAAGCGTCAATTAACTGCTCTTGAATTGATCAATTAGAGTGAACACTTAAGACAGATGTATATGTATATGTTTTCGAGATCTACTTGTAAATATTGACTAATAATTCTGAATGAGCGTGAAAATTCCACATCCTCAAAATGAGTCAACACAATGTCTGGCTAAATCCAGTATAAAATGACAAAAAACAAACTCCATACACTGAAAGCAAATTTGAAATATCGATTTTAGATAAATTTTGGAATTCAGATTTGTAATTTGATTGCTACTCCAATAGTGGTTTATTTATCGCCTATTTTCGTTGGCCTGGTGACACATATTTATTATTTTGATCTGTGACTGGATACCACCTTATGCTACCTCTTTAGACACGGTGAAAGATGCTAGTTCATTAATGATATCACATTTTAACTTACTCTTCACCGGCTTCGAACAGTTCTTTGGCATCAGCTCTTGCCTGGCTCTCATCGCAGTCCTCTTCTCGTGAGCCATCGACTATCGCCAATAGAACCCGTTTGAAGTCGCCATTGCACTTACTCTCAATGGCCTCCACAAGGCGTGTTCCTGCCACTAGAATTGGAATCAATCAATATACCATCAATGTTATGCATTTTGGCTTTAAATTGCTCCCAAATTCTAAGTGAATTAAATCCAGTGGAAAGAAATATGCAACGTACTCTCTTGAAAAGCTTCTTTAATTGGCCTAATTTCATCTCTGTCGGCAGTGCATATAACATGAATGAGCAGATCGTTGTCAGTTTCAGTGGCATTCATGGCTTTTTGAAGAGCTGCTGCATTCAAGTGAGCCCGATCATAGAAAGACCACAAAATGACCAATTCAAGGTCTTCCCTGAGTAGACTTTTCAGTTTTTGCCTTATATCCTATTTTTAAAAGTGAATTAAATCACAACAGTAATTTGTTATAACGAGATTGATAGTAATCATTTAAAAGATGTGTTTTATATTATATATATATATATATATATATATATATATATAATTTGCCCAAATTTACCTCGCCATATTGTTCTTTGTAGGCACGCTCAATGGCTTGACGTTGGGCCACGGTTCGATGAGCAAGAATATTAATAATATCATCCTCATAACTACCTTGAAGACAACTCGAAGTGAGAGGAAAATTCGTTTAATTGATCGAATTGGATTGTTCGACATACCTAATGAATTGATGGTATTATTTATTGGAGTAAATATGGGTAAAATAAATTGTTCCAAATAATCACGATTAGGACGTCTTCTATAGAGCCTTGGCATTTCACACATTGAGAATGTTTAACAGGAGGTATGTTAATATCTTTAAGTAGGCAGCCTCAGGATCATGTGGTTGGTGGTGCAAAGGATGCGAGGACTCAAACAGTTGCACCATGCAAATTGGTGGTTGCTTCGGGTTGGGTGGGTTGGGTGGGTGGGTGGTTGAGACTGGAGGAGAGTGGATGGTGTCAATTTGAGTCTCTTTAATGTTACAAGTAATTTTTTCCGACGAGTTCATTTATGTGGAAAAGTTAGTCTGATTAAACTGATCCCTCGTTTAATTCGATGTGATTGGGATTGGCACCGAAGCAAAGAAGTAGATGGTAATGACGTTTTCATTAATCAATATGTTTTCGCCTTAGCCCAGATGTTAAAAAGCTACAGAAAAGACAGGTAAGGTATTTGTAAATTGTTTGTACAAACCAAGTACCACATTGGTGTCCTTTCAAAAGCGCAAACCTAGTACCAGTTGCCCTCGGAATACACATGTGGATGGAAAAAATCCCTTGAAGTACCAACAACTCCTAATATTGATTTATTTTCGTACTGCAAAGTCACTGTTTCTCTCACTTGTATCTGAATCTCGCACATGTCGCATCGTTATTTTGCATCCTAATGGTGTAGCAAGAGAGTCCTTAATTAATTCATGCTGAATCAAAAATAATGGGAAGCCAAAGGAACGAAATTCGTGGATTTTCATCACCTCGCCAATACTGCTGTCATTGACTAATCAGAAGGCGAATGGTCTAACACAATGATTTTCGTAACTTGATGCCATTTCTTGATTGTGAAAGGAGAGAAAAGTCAAAGCTGTCAAAAAGAGGTGACGAGTGTAGAGCAGTAGAATATATATTTATTCATATCAAATGACAGGCGTTTTGATAGTTACCCTTGGCCATTTAGTTGACTTCAGGCCTCACAGAGGATGCGGGGCGGGAGGGGGACATCAAGGTGAAAAAAGTCGAGAGGGCGGGGAAGTGGGAACAGAAGAGTGTTTCAAAGTTGTAAAAGAGACAGACACAGGTGGAGAGTAGAGTAAGGCGAGTACTGTGGAAGTGGTGGTATGTGGCAGAGAGTGGAGTCATGGTAGTTTGAAGTGAGAAGTCAACTGCCAGTTAATAAACTTATTTGCCGTATGAGCATACGTTGCCCAGGGTGCACCACATTTGCCGTATGAGCATACGTTGCACGTTACGTTACGAGGAAGTAAGTCTATCGCACACCCTACAGTAGAATATCTAGAAGTCCATATGTTTACCTCCATTCGGGTGCTTGAATCAATGTATTTGCCAATTTTCAATTAGCGGTATAACTCGCTATATGCGATCAATATTCTTATTGCAGTTTAATGTGTTTTAAGGTATTTGGAACGGATCAAAATTCAAAAGTATCTTGTCACAATCTTTGAATCTTGAAAATATTTCCTGAAGGAATCAATATTATATTTGGGGTGTGCAATAGACTTACCCCCACGTCGTGCACCATGGATAACGTATACTCATACGGCAAAAAGTCGATAACTCGGCAGGGCTAATGTTAAATATGGTAAAACCTGCCATGAATAAAATATGACATATTTATAATGTTAATCCAATCATGAAATTAAGATTAGGGACTGAATGGGCAGGAAATCATTGGTTCTAGTATTGAGTTGACTTTAACGTCTAAACATATTTCTAATCTACTCAACTTTACTTACCAATGAATCCACATTATTTCTAAAATGACCTCGTTTTAAATCACTTCACACTAAAGAGACTTCCATTCACCCTACACCCTACCCCACCCCATCCCCAATCTCCATAACCCTGACACACACAATCTTTAATTTGTATTAATTGAATTGGTCATTCTGTGGTCTTTCAATGAACAAGCTCATTTCAGTGTAACGGCCCTTCAGTCAGCTCCGAATGTGATTCAAATTAGAGGCAGTAAAAGAATTTTATCAAGATACGAAGATTTAACATTTTGATTGAACTTAATGTGGGAACGAATTGAAGCCAAAATCCATTAGTTTGGATTGCAACATGAAAGAAAATAGGTACCAAGTTTCAGAAGCTCTCATCCCAGCATAATAATTGTGTACAGAGGTAGAACTCGGTTCGAAATATTAAAAATAGCAATTGCATTTGTACGCGCAATAATGTCATTGCCAATGTGAACAAGTCTCCATTCGTGAATATCACTTGTTTGTTGAAATAGCTTCCTGTCGATTTGAAAGCCATTGCCTAATAAGAGCCACTATGCCATGTAATCTGATGGTTAAAAGGCCAATAGGGGGCAAACCATCAGAAGGTCTTCCGACGAGTTCCCGTTTCTTTGAAACGAATGTTCATATCTAATATTTTACAGAATGCCCATACTGTGAATCATTTATTTATTTATATCAAATGGCAGGCGTTTTGATAGTTATCATTAGCCCTTTAGTTGACTTCAGGCTTCACTGAGGGGAAGAGGAACATCAAAGTGAAAGAAGTCGAGATGGCGGGGTGAGGGGGGGGGGGAACAGAAGGGTGTTTCAAAGATGTAGAAGAGACAAACAC